ATCAATGGCCTCCACATCAGTGTCTGTGCAGCCATCTTTTTCCTTGCTGCTCCTTTCTCTCCAGATAAGCTTAGCTCTGCACAGGTGCTCACAATTCCCTTTTCACGAGTACATGAAAAGATTCTATATTCTACTACAGAGATTGCTGCTCATCCATGTTCAGTGCTGCTCTGCTCACAATTAGCCAGGAAATAAAAGCAGCTTTAGATGTCTATCAATGAGTGAATGGAAGAAAATGCACATTTCCACATTTACACAATAGAACATTATTCAGCTGTTTAAAAAAAAAAACACAACTGTGAGATTTTTTAGGTAAATGGATGAGCTGGAAACAATCATTCTGGGTGAAGTAACTCGGGCTCAAAAAGATAAAAGTGGCCTGTACTTATTTATTTATTTATTTATTTATTTATTTATTTATTTATTTTTCGAGACAGGGTTTCTCTGAGTAGCCCTGGCTGTCCTGAAACTCACTCTGTAGACCAGGCTGGCCTCGAACTCAGAAATCTGCCTTCCTCTGCCTCCGAAGTGCTGGGATTAAAGGCGTGCGCCACCACCACCCGGCGCCTGTTTTCTTTCATTTATGGATGTTGGCTTTGAATTTTCAGATATGTGTGCTTCATTCAGAATACCCACTGAGGTCAGGAGATGGCTAAGAGGTCACGGGGAGGGGAGCTTGAAGAGAAGGGAAACAGAATATAGAGGTCTAAAGGGTTGAAGGGGCATAATCGAACAGGGGAGTTAAATGGGGTAGGAAACGGGAGGGTATGGTAAAAGAGCAAATACAAACAGAAATAACTAACACCAAAGACTTTTTTTTTGGAAGTCCTGTGGAAACTTACTATTGTAGAAGCCTCCTAAGTACAAACATGCTTACACAAAGAGTTTACATGGAGTCACACTATAACAAGGTGACAGTGCCCCTGCTAGACACTACACACTAACAAATAAAAGGCCCAGTTCCGAGAGTATATGACTTCTTACGGAATTGTTGATTAGTGAGGTCCCCAAACATCATACCCAGTCTAGTGCCAGTACTTTTGTTAATCCTCCAGAACTTGGTGGTAAGACTCTACCACTGATGATACCACACAACTTTAGTCATAGAACTGGAGAAACCGGGCTTGTACTCACCTGGAAGATTCATCCCCACAGCTAGCTTTCATAACACTAGAAAGTGATGTTCACATTAATGGGAGAGAAAAGTAATCATTGGTCTCACCCAGCTGCAAACCCTGCAGCTGTGAATCCTGCAGCTGTAAACTCTGCAGCTGTGAACCCTGCAGCTTGAATACTACAGCTGTGAACCATGCAGTTGTGAACCCTGCAGCTGGGAACCCTGCAGCTGTAAACTCTACAGCTGTGAAACCTGCAGCTTTGAACACTACAGCTGTGAACCCTGCAGCTGGGAACACTACAGCTGTGAACCCTGCAGCTGGGAACCCTGTAGCTGGGAACCCTGCAGCTGGGAACTCTACAGCTGTGAAACCTGCAGCTTTGAACACTACAGCTGTGAACCCTGCAGCTGTGAACCCTGCAGCTTTGAACACTACAGCTGTGAACCCTGCAGCTGTGAATCCTGCAGCTGTAAACTCTACAGCTGTGAACCTTGCAGCTTTGAACACTACAGCTGTGAACCCTGCAGCTGTGAACCCTGCAGCTGTGAATCCTGCAGCTGTGAACCCTGCAGCTGTGAATCCTGCAGCTGTAAACTCTACAGCTGTGAACCCTGCAGTAGTGAATCCTACAAGCTACAACAATGAACAGCCTGACAAGACATGCCTATGGGAACAATAGTGGTACAGATGTCAAGGGAGTAATCAGCACTCTCCGATTTGACTTAAGGCATGCTCTACAAGATAAAACCCATATTGGGCACCATTATCAGGGCCTAGAAGTGGAGCTCTTGGCAGCTGATGGCTGCTGGGATAGAGAGAGTCAGTTTTCTTTAAAGGTGTGGCCTCCGCAAGGTCAACCATGCCCCAATGCAAGGCCACATATCCAAGAGTAAATGGGTGGCACAAATTTGACTTGAAAAAGAAACAAAAGATGACGGAGAGATCAGGGCGGAGGAAAGCATGAGCACAGAGCAGAGCATGCTGGATTTGGAGGAGCTGGGGAAACAGGTAAATATGATCAAAATAGAGTTTGTTAAATTTTTGAAGAAACAATAAAGGGTTAAGTAAAAACAGATAAGATGTAGGTTGTTTCCGATGTTCATTTTGGACTGCTATTACAACTAGTACTGATAGCTGAAAACTTGGTGTAGCCTCTCTCTAAAATAACCAAAAGTCCACGCCTTCGATCACCTCCCTAGGTCTCCAGGTCTCAGATCCAAAGGCTTATAGTTCTGTGTGAATCTTGATTTAACAACAACAACCAAACCTGCAAGAGTTAGACTAAATAAACAGGTAAATATTACCATCCAACCACACACTCTAAAGAGCCCACCCCGGAGCTGTTCTTTCCACTTACAAGGTAGCAATCGAGGAATTCCTTTGTACTTTCAGGTGGTGTGCACCCAAGGGGCTTAGCCACGCCCTCGTCCAAAGCTGTCTGCCTCCAGCTGGTTCTTTGAAGAATCTAGAAGTCCTGGAGTGACCCAGATCTTCCTTTCTAACGCGGAAGGTGGGCTGCAACAGTTACTTCACACTCTTATATCCCAGCCTTCCTTTTTTCTGTTAATCGGTACTTGCTATAAAGGCCAAATAGGGTGCTAAGGAGCCTTATCACATCCTGTATCCTTTACTGTTGCACAAGGTCAGTCACCGCAGGCAAAGCCATGACCTCTCCTTTTGCTTAACCGTATGAGCAGGTCTTACTCTCTTCTCTCAATTCAGTGGAGTCATTTTGGCCTTTCTTAATGGAAGTAATCCTAAACTGCACAAGAAATACTAACCAAATAGAGGTATACTAACCCTCTACCAGAGGACCAAGGTTGATTCCCAGAACCACATGGCAGCTCACAACCTGTCGCTCCCCAGCGTCCGACCAGCGGAATAAGGCAACGACAATAGTGTTTTTCTTTGAGCGGTTTATTCAGCAACCCTTGTACTGTAAGCTTCTTTCGTGCTGCCAGCAGCCACCACACCACCACCTGCAGCCCCTTAAAGCTTTGCCTCGCTCCTATCAGTAACTGCCACAAGAACACTGGTAATTGGTCACTCTGTATGATGTGAGGCGGGATGATCGGGTAACCACACCTCTTAGCGCAAGCTTTCCATATATGGAGTTGTTTTTCTCTCAAGCAGTGCCCAGTCATCCCGGCTGGCCTTTTGCCAAGTGCCATCTTGTAATGGCACCAGTGGAGCCGCTTCCCACAACAACCATCTGCGACTCTAGTCCCAGGACATCCAATGCCATCTCCTGGCCTTTGCAGGCACCAGGCACACAAGCAGTATAGACATGCATGCAGGAAAAACACCCATACACATAAACCAGACTATTTTAAAGATGTATTTTACATGAATTATATATACACATATATGATTAATATGTATGGGTGGTGGTGTGTGCAAGTGAATGCAGGTGCCTGAGACATTGGATGCCCCAGGAATCTGGAGTTCTAAGCCATCTCATGTGGGTGCTGGGAACAGAACACAGGTTCTCAGTATGTACTCTTAACTGCTGAGCCATCTCTCCAGCCTCCTTAAAACTGCTTTCTTTTTAACTCAGACTCATCCATCCAGAAAGTCTGTCTGTCATCAAGAAAGTAGAAACAACAAACCTTCTAACAGAGCAAGGTAAGAGGAAGACTGACCCATTGCTGGTGGAAATGCAAACTTATGTCGCCGCTATGGAAATCCTTTAAAAAGTTCCTCAAAAAAAAAAAAACTAAAAATAAAAGTACCAAATGCTCCAGCTGTATGCCCCTCCACACACACCCAAAGGTTCTGTGTACCACCGTAGAGACATTTGCATGGTTTTGTCCATTGTTTGTGATTCGCAATACTAGGAAATGGGACAGCCTGTGTGTCTGCAAGCAGACAAGCAGATGAGGAAAGTGCAATACGCAGGATGGTGAGGAATGGCTTTAATCCCAAGCACTGACGAGGAACTGAAAGGCAAATCTCTGTGAAGTCAAGGCCAACCTGATCTACATGGGGAGTTCCAGGACAGCCTGGGCTATGTAAAGAGACCCTGTCTCAAAAGAAAAAGGAAGAAAGAGAAAGAGAGAGGGAGAGAGAGAAAGAGAGAGAGAGAGAGGAGAAAAGGAAGGAAGGAAGGAAGGAAGGAAGGAAGGAAGGAAGAGAAAAAGAATGAAAGAAGAGAAAAAGAAAGGAAGGAAGGAAGAAAAGAAAGGTAATTCTGTACACAGCAGAATTTCATGTACAAGTTCAAAAATGAGGTCAATGACATTTGCACGAAATGGATAGAAGTGGAAGTTACTATCTCAAGCAACGTATTCCAGACCCAGACTCAAGACTCAGAAGTACAAACACTACATAGCTGCCCTTAGATTTACGTTCTAGATATGTGGACACATGCGTAAGGAGACATGGGTCATAAACGCTGAGAGGGGAAAGACGACACTGAAGAAAGAAGACTCATGGGACAGGTGTGACATGAAGGCAGGAGGGTTAATGGAGGCAGAAAGGGGCGTAGAGAAGTGGGGGCAGGGGACGGGGCGGGGTGGGAGCAATGAAAGCAAGTATGAAAATTCTATAATGAAACCCCATTGTTTTCTGTACTCGTTCTTAAAACAATGAGAAGAAATCTGTTGACAGTTTAAGTTCTAAGCAGCTCTAACCAATAGATGAAGGGGGAGGGGGGTTCCTCCTCAAGGCTCCATCAAACATGGTCTTTCAAACTCCATGGCTGGATACCCAAGCACTTGTTGTCCTACTCACTACACTGATTCTGACTCCAGAGCCCTGTCCAGGCCCTGAGGAAATTAAATTCAAATATAGGTTCAACTTCTCAGAGACCCTGAAGCTCCGCCTCCAAGACAGAGCACTTCAGTGTAGCCTGGGTCTCTCCCATCTGTGGTCAGGAGCACCATGGAGGCTCCGGGGATCCGATGCCTTGCCCTGTGGCTTCTAATGGTTACCATGCTCCTGCCGATGCTTTCTGGTGATATGATGTTTCCTCCTGGAGTCAAAAGACAACTCTGTGAAAGCGGGCATCTTGGAGGTAAGCAAAAATGGAAATGTGACCAGAAGGAAAATGGTGAAGGAGAAAGAAATCCGGGCAATCTGGAAGGCATGGCTGATGACAGCACCAAACCCTCCTTTTCTATCAAACCCCATGGGCTGGGGCTTCTGATTATATTGAGTTCCCAGTATAGGTTGAAGAAAGAGGAAAAAAAGAGAAGTAGAATCAACTTAAGTAACAAAAAGAGATCGAGAGGCATAAAGACTGGATTGATACTAAAGGTATACAAGAAATGCCATCCTCTCATATGTGTGTGCATGTGTGTGTGCACGTGTGAGAGTGAGTGTGTGTGAGTGTGCGCACGCGTGGGTGTGAGAGTGTGAGAGTGTGTGTGTGAGTGTGTGTGCGCGTGTGCGTGTGCGTGTGTGTTATATGAGTTTCATTTCCATTCAATACATAATCATAGGAGCACTATGTTACCTTCCTTGAATTCAGAAGGTTCAAGGCCGTCCTCTACACCCCTGTGCTACTTTTTAAATTTGAATTCTAATGGACACTTTGGGAGAACTCAGAGTGGAGGTAGGAAAATCCCAATCGTGGAAAGGACAATAGCTGGACTTTGTGAAGAGTAACTAACTATCTTTGTCTCCAACATGGTCACCATGGCTCCTGCTGGAACCCACGTGTATGCTGACAGCGAAAAACAGTGAGTCTAGGGATGTGAACAAAGAGAAGCAGCAGTGGGGTGAGGAGAGATGTGAAGAGAAAAGAGACTGCCAGATCTGGCAGCAGAAGCCTAGCCCTCAGGAGTAGATGTGCAAGGTGGGAAGGCTTTTTAACATATGTGCTCCGGTGAGGAGGAGCAGGACTAAAGGAAGGGTTCCGATGGGTGAGGACCTACAGGCACTGAGTTACATGCTCGCT